ACCAAGTCAAGGATTAAGATCCCCTTACTGGTCATCTTAAAAAAAAAAAAAAGAAGAAGAATAAATGTTTCAATATACTTAATTATCCTATACAACAATATTGGTGTATGCCTACTAAATATTAGCCCTAAACCTGGACCTGAAATGGCTTTATTCCATTCTGGTTTGTCGAAGCCATAGGGCTTCACTAGATTGGGAACTCCTCAGAGAAAGGACTATGCCTTGTTCAACTCCATACTCCTAGTCCACAGCCTAGTGCCTGATATATGGTAGGTGCTAAATAAATATTTGTTGAGTGCAAGGGTGAATGGCATTCCAGGCACTGAGAACTAGATTAACAAAGGTGGCAAAAAGGTTTAGAGAAAAAATAGTTTCATTTCTCTGGAGTATGAGGGAGAGTAGTAGGAGATAAGATGGAAAGATCTCTTGAGTAAGGACTCGAAGGGACTTAGAAATCAAATAGAAGGACAAGATGGGTGTATTTTGGTAGGCGGTCAGGAGCCAGTGAAAGTTTTTGAGCAGGGAAGTAATATGATGAAAAATAAATTTAGTTGAAACCATCAGAGGCCCTCTCATACATATACTCAGTTTTCCATTCATACTCAAATTTTCTCCCACCTACCCATCTATCTACTTACCCTCAGGTTTCCCCAGCAGCTTACCCTACCCCTTTACCTGCTCTCTGGCTGGGCCGGGGATGTATACAAAGGATGCTTTCCCCCTCAGCCAGAGGATGTAGGCCCTAGCTCCCGTCTTTCCCCTTCCCTGCCTAGAGCTGGGAAGCAGGCCAGGTTTAGACGAGGCTGGCTGGCAAGCAGCTGGGTGGAGCCAGGGAGATGCTGTATGGTGCCAGGTGGAGCTTTGGGTTCCAAGCTGAGCCCATGACCTCGATAACCTTCTGCCTGCACATACATCTGCCCCCCACTCCACACCCATCCAGGCTTTGGTATCGGGGAGGGGGCACAGAGCCAGACAGACCTGTGGGACTTTGGCTCCATCTCCACAGAAGGGCACTCTGTGAGTCAGCCAGCTCCCCTCCAGGCTTGCTCCTCCCCCACCTGGCTCCTGTTTCCAATGCACGTACAGCCCGTACACACTGTGTCTTGGGACACCCCACAGTCAGCCGCATGGCTCCCCTGTGCCCCAGCCCCTGGCTCCCTCTGTTAATCCCAGCCCCTGCCCCAGGCCCCACTGTGCAACTGCTGCTAGTACTGCTGCTTCTGGTGCCTGCCCATCCCCAGAGCCTGTCCCAGATGCAAGAGGATCCCCACATAGGAGGAGATTCATCTGGGGATGATGATCCACTGAGCAAGGAGGATTTGCCCAGTGAAGAGGATCCACCTGGAGAGAAGGATCTACCTGGAGAGGATTATCCACCTGGAGAGGAGGATCCACCTGGAGAGAAGGATCCATCTGAAGTTAAGACTGAACCAGGAGAAAAGGACTCTCTGAAGTTAGAGGATCTACCTACTGTAGAGGCTCCCAGAAATACTCAAGGCCCCCAGAATAATGCCCACAGAGACAAAAAAGGTAAGTGTTCATCAGCCCTCCGAATCTAGGCTACAGGTGGTTTACACCTCCCCTCTCCATACCCCAGCCCAGGCAAGGATTATTCAGGGAAGAAGAGGAGCCCATACTCTGACAGTAGCCCTTTCTTTTTCTTTTTCTTTTTTCCTTTTTTTTTCTTAAAAGATGACCGGTAAGGAAATCTTAACCCTTGACTTGGTGTCAGCACCACACTCAGCCAGTGAGCAACCGACCATCCCTATATGGGATCCGAACCCGTGGCCTTGGTGTTATCAGCACCGCACTCTCCCGAGTGAGCCACGGGCCGGCCCTGACAGTAGCCCTTTCTAGGGGCTCTCATACCACTAAACCACCCTCCTTTTTCAGAGCTAGAAGGGGATGGGTGGAGAGAGAGATAAAAGGGGCACAGATGGAGTGAGCTGGAAAAGATGAGAAAGAAGAAAGGGGGAGGTTGGAGAAGAGAAAGAGATGAGGAATGTGCACAGAGAAAAAATAGGTGGAGAGGGAGAGAAAGAAGAGTGTGAAGGGAAGAGAAGAGGAAAGATTGCGGGGGAGAGGATGGGTACCAGGAAGAGCAGAAGGGCTTGTAGAGATAACCTCATCTCGTGCTTGTCAGTTAGCTCAGTTGGATAGAGTGTAGTGCTGATAACACCAAGGTCCAGGGTTTGATCCCTATACCAGCCAGTTGCCAAAAAACAACGAAAAACAATATCATCATCTCGTCTTCAGTCTACATTGAGGAAATCGAGACTTAGGAAGAAAAAAACAGCAGGTAGAGAAACCTGGTTATCGTGTCTCCCAAGCCAGGAACTTTGGGAAAGGAGTTGGAAACCAGAAAGGGCAGAGGCATGACTGGGAAGGAGGGATGAGTAAGGGAGGAAGGAAAGCTGGTCTACTGATGTAACCCTAGTGGGGTTACTGATCAACCCTACCCCCCACCCACTTTACACACCCTAGGACAGTGGTTGCAAACTGGCATATCCTGGGCCAGTAGCGCTGCTGCTCGGCCCACCCAGCTGCGGCGTTACTTTTGGTTGCAGTCCGCTGTGCTTTACGCCTGCCCTGCTTCAGGCATGTCTCTTACCTGCTGTGCCGCTGCAAAGCATCCGAGTTTGTCAACCTCTGTTGGTGAGGGGGATCCACCTTGTCCCGGCCCCTGGGAAGGGACTGGGCTCTAAGATCGGCCTGTTCATCTTTTTCCTTTGTGCAGGGCATGACCACAGTCATTGGAGCTATGGAGGTGAGACACCATCCCCTGCACAGACCCGCACGTCTGCGGGTCCCGGACACCGCCCGCTGCCTATTCCCGCCCACATCCCTGATTTCTAGTTCCCGTTCTGATGCCTCCTGACTCCACCCCCTCACTTCTTCTACCCGGGATCCCTGAAAGTTCCTGACCAAGTCATGAGACTTCCTCACCATACTCTCCCACCCCAGGCGACCCGCCCTGGCCCCAGGTGTCCCCAGCCTGTGCGGGCCGCTTTCAGTCCCCGGTTGATATCCGCCGCGAGCTCGCCGCATTTTGCCCAGCCCTGCGACCCCTGCAACTCCTGGGTTTTGAGCTCCCGCCACTCCCAGAACTGCGCTTGCACAACAACGGCCACACTGGTGAGGGGGTCTCCGGGTAGAGACTCAGGGAAGGGGCGGGGCGGGCCGATGGAAAGGGGGCGGNTCTGAAGTTAAGACTGAACCAGGAGAAAAGGACTCTCTGAAGTTAGAGGATCTACCTACTGTAGAGGCTCCCAGAAATACTCAAGGCCCCCAGAATAATGCCCACAGAGACAAAAAAGGTAAGTGTTCATCAGCCCTCCGAATCTAGGCTACAGGTGGTTTACACCTCCCCTCTCCATACCCCAGCCCAGGCAAGGATTATTCAGGGAAGAAGAGGAGCCCATACTCTGACAGTAGCCTTTTCTTTTTCTTTTTCTTTTTTCCTTTTTTTTTCTTAAAAGATGACCGGTAAGGAAATCTTAACCCTTGACTTGGTGTCAGCACCACACTCAGCCAGTGAGCAACCGACCATCCCTATATGGGATCCGAACCCGTGGCCTTGGTGTTATCAGCACCGCACTCTCCCGAGTGAGCCACGGGCCGGCCCTGACAGTAGCCCTTTCTAGGGGCTCTCATACCACTAAACCACCCTCCTTTTTCAGAGCTAGAAGGGGATGGGTGGAGAGAGAGATAAAAGGGGCACAGATGGAGTGAGCTGGAAAAGATGAGAAAGAAGAAAGGGGGAGGTTGGAGAAGAGAAAGAGATGAGGAATGTGCACAGAGAAAAAATAGGTGGAGAGGGAGAGAAAGAAGAGTGTGAAGGGAAGAGAAGAGGAAAGATTGCGGGGGAGAGGATGGGTACCAGGAAGAGCAGAAGGGCTTGTAGAGATAACCTCATCTCGTGCTTGTCAGTTAGCTCAGTTGGATAGAGTGTAGTGCTGATAACACCAAGGTCCAGGGTTTGATCCCTATACCAGCCAGTTGCCAAAAAACAACGAAAAACAATATCATCATCTCGTCTTCAGTCTACATTGAGGAAATCGAGACTTAGGAAGAAAAAAACAGCAGGTAGAGAAACCTGGTTATCGTGTCTCCCAAGCCAGGAACTTTGGGAAAGGAGTTGGAAACCAGAAAGGGCAGAGGCATGACTGGGAAGGAGGGATGAGTAAGGGAGGAAGGAAAGCTGGTCTACTGATGTAACCCTAGTGGGGTTACTGATCAACCCTACCCCCCACCCACTTTACACACCCTAGGACAGTGGTTGCAAACTGGCATATCCTGGGCCAGTAGCGCTGCTGCTCGGCCCACCCAGCTGCGGCGTTACTTTTGGTTGCAGTCCGCTGTGCTTTACGCCTGCCCTGCTTCAGGCATGTCTCTTACCTGCTGTGCCGCTGCAAAGCATCCGAGTTTGTCAACCTCTGTTGGTGAGGGGGATCCACCTTGTCCCGGCCCCTGGGAAGGGACTGGGCTCTAAGATCGGCCTGTTCATCTTTTTCCTTTGTGCAGGGGATGACCACAGTCATTGGAGCTATGGAGGTGAGACACCACCGGCCCCTGGGAAGGGACTGGGCTCTAAGATCGGCCTGTTCATCTTTTTCCTTTGTGCAGGGCATGACCACAGTCATTGGAGCTATGGAGGTGAGACACCACCCCCTGCACAGACCCGCACGTCTGCGGGTCCCGGACACCGCCCGCTGCCTATTCCCGCCCACATCCCTGATTTCTAGTTCCCGTTCTGATGCCTCCTGACTCCACCCCCTCACTTCTTCTACCCGGGATCCCTGAAAGTTCCTGACCAAGTCATGAGACTTCCTCACCATACTCTCCCACCCCAGGCGACCCGCCCTGGCCCCAGGTGTCCCCAGCCTGTGCGGGCCGCTTTCAGTCCCCGGTTGATATCCGCCGCGAGCTCGCCGCATTTTGCCCAGCCCTGCGACCCCTGCAACTCCTGGGTTTTGAGCTCCCGCCACTCCCAGAACTGCGCTTGCACAACAACGGCCACACTGGTGAGGGGGTCTCCGGGTAGAGACTCAGGGAAGGGGCGGGGCGGGCCGATGGAAAGGGGGCGGTCTGGGAGGTGCCTCGGGGTTAGGCTGCCCTCCCCTACCCGCGAGGCAGGTGCGGCTCACCCGCCTCTCCTCCCGCAGTGCAGCTGACTCTGCCTCCCGGGCTAGAGATGGCTCTGGGTCCCGGGCGGGAGTACCGGGCCCTGCAGTTGCATCTGCACTGGGGGGCTGCGGGCCGCCCGGGCTCGGAGCACACTGTTGACGGCCACCGTTTCCCTGCCGAGGTGAGCACGGAGCTGTCCAAGGAGGGACGAAGGGGCGGGGCGGGGCGGGGCCGGAGAACTGGACACTCTTACCCCCGTGTCCTCTCCAGATCCACGTGGTTCACCTCAGTACCGCATTTGCCAAAGTTGAGGAGGCCTTGGGGCGCCCGGGTGGCCTGGCCGTGCTGGCCGCCTTTCTGCAGGTACCAGACATGGGCACACCCCACTCTCTGCTTCCTCACACCCTGGGCTCAGTGTATCTTGTCCTGAGATCCATCCCAGCACACTCACCCGGGCCCCTGGCTGTCATCCTTCACTCATTAATTAGTTCCTTAGCTCAAATCCCACTGTGAACCTGTCACTGGGCCCCCAAAAGGATTCAGAAGCTGTGAGTCCTTGTCTCCAAGGAGCCCACAGCCAGTGGGGCAGGCTGACAGGATAGACATAGGAAGGACACAGAGTAAAAGAGATGGTCACAGAGAAAGTGAAACTTGAAGCCTTCACTAGAGGGGAAGAGAAGGAAATGTTCCATGCAGAGGGAACAGAATGTGCAAAGACTCAGAACGTGGCCCATTCAGAAACGGCAGATGCAGTACACTGGACATCAGGATGACTCATGATTTCCCCTTTGTGAAATGCAGTATTTGGTGACCTCTTTGGACCTGTAATGGTCAAGGATACACAATGATTAGAGGAGGCCAGCAAAGTGAGGGGATGGTGAGATACCTGATAGGCTCACCCACCGATTCCTTAACACCAACCTCTCAGGACAGAGTTCAGAGAAGTGCCTCGGAAATAGCATGTCAGGACCTTAATCCAAAACTCAAACACATGATTTATTAAGGTGAATGCAGAACTAACAAGAATACGAAGGTGTTTTATGGTTTTCTGGAGGGAGACGATGGAGTGTGTATGGAGGTAGTGATGAGAAAGACTGGAAAAGTCAGTGGGACCCAGGTCATTCAGGGCCTAGTGTCCTAGTAAAGTGGCTTCTCTTTCTCCTCTGCCTCCAGTTTGCCATTGAAATCCAGTCCACCAAGCTTGTTAGTTTGCAAAGCAAGAGTAAATAGACTTTGAGTAATAATACAAAAGATTTTGTTCTCCAGCATTCTCAGAGCTGAGGAATGGGGGAGGACTATGGGACCCCACCTCATCTTCAAGCCCCCAGTCATGGGCCTAGATACATGTATTAGTCTGTCTCGCACTGTTATCTTCCAGGAGGGTCCAGAAGAAAACAGCGCCTATGAGCAGTTGCTGTCACATTTGGAAGAAATCCCTGAGGAAGGTCAGTTTGTTGGTCTGGCCACTACCTTCTATACTCCAGTTCATGAAGAATTGCCCTTCGGACCCTCAGGTCTGAGGATGGAGATAGGCTCCCTCCCTTGTGGGAGTGGATTGAGGTGTGAACTGGCTCTGATCTTGATAATAACTGTGAACCTGACGGGGGGTAAACAGCACAGGCCAACTGCTGCTCACAGGCTTTTTGGTTAAAAACCAAGCAAAAAACAAAATTAGACCAAAAAAAAAAAAAAGATAAAAAAGTGGTGTTTGGAACTTTCATGGGAGTTGAGTCTGGAGAGCTAAATTTTTTCTGAGAACTATTTCTCTTTCATGAGCACCAAATATTTTAAACTTGTAAATAATTTTGTTGGAAATCTTTCTCTTTTCAGTCACTCCTCACTGGAAAGTCATTTTAAATCTTGCTGTCCTGGACTTTTAGATTTTTGCTGCACTAGTGAGAACTGTGCCTTTGTAGTTTTTGTGTCTGTTTTTTATAGTAATAAATATCTATATTTATTTCCAAGTGATTCAGCTCATTTTTCCTTTTTAATTCACTCCGGGCTCCGTGGCCCAGCACGTTATGACAGCATGCAAAGCAAGAGTGAAGACTTGAGTAGCATTTCGGGGAGGACCTGAGTAGCATTTCGCTCTCTCTGTAAGGTCTCTTACAGTTGCACCAAAGCCCTTTACTTTCTTTTGAGTTATGTCTTGTACTGAGTTCTGGGAAGGGACCTCTGTTAGTGAAGAAGTGGTTCCAGGGAGTTGAGTTAACTTGGCTTCTGGGAGATGAAACTGTATGCCTATACCCTGAAGACTCACAGGGTGGGGAGGGGTGGGGCGGCAATCTAGGTGAGACCCCAACACACGTCCTCTCCACAGGCTCAGAGACTTGGGTCCCAGGATTGGACATATCTGCTCTGCTGCCCTCTGACCTCAGCCGCTACTTCCAATATGAGGGGTCGCTGACCACACCACCCTGTGCCCAGGGGGTCATCTGGACCGTGTTCAACCAGACAGTGAAGCTGAGTGCTAAGCAGGTGAGGCTGCGGCGTGGTGTTGACATAGGGTGAGGGGAAAGGGGATGTAGGATGAGACAAGAAAGAATCAAAGAGATCAAGGCACTGTGATAGGGATGTGGGGAGAGGAGGGTAGAGCTCTGAGGTGCTGGCTGAGTAGGCCTGGGACCCTTTTGTTTCCTCTTACTCCACGAGCCCACCCGCACTGTTTACTGACCTCACTAGCTCCACATCCTCTATGGCTCTCTGTGGGGACCCGGTGGCTCTCGGCTGCAGCTGAACTTCCGAGCGACGCAGCCTTTGAATGGGCGGATGATTGAGGCCTCATTCCCTGCTGGAGTGGACGACAGCCCTAGGACCGTTGAATCAGGTGCAGCTTTATCTGTGTCCCATATTGCTGTGACCACCCAGCCACAGGTCCCTCATCTTCCCCTGTGTCTTCGTTTGTGTCAGTCTCTGTAACTGGTGGTCACAGTCCCCAGCTCTAATGTCTCCTTTTTCTTTTCAGTCCACCTGAATTCCTGCCTTGCTGCTGGTGAGTCTGTGCGCCTCCTCTTGCCCCTGATGCTTGGGGCACACTTGGCACTGTTCATTCCCAGGGGCTAATCAGGACCACCTCTGCTCCCTCTCCTTTTCTGCAGAAAAGACCCCCAACCCCAGTATGATACCTAGTCAGATAGACTCAGAACGATCAGGAGGATTCCTTTCCCTCCTCGCCCCTGCTGTCCCCAGGGCTTAGTTGATCAGAATGAAGCTCTAGAAATCTCCTAGCGTCTCCCTCCAAGAAATCTTTTACTCAGCTTTTGGGGAGGGAAAATGGTGCTTAGCTTACCCCTTCTTATGTATCCACCCCAACTCTTGGCTGGCCCCTTCTGAAGATTGAGGCACTGGGGGCTGCCTGAGAACTCAGGGCAGGGGTGGGGAGACACTAAAGCAAGCTTTGAGGGAGGCTGTGGACCCCTCTTCACTCCCTGAGGAGCTCTCTCCTCTCTGTCTCCCAGGTGACATCCTGGCCCTGGTGTTCGGCCTCCTCTTTGCTGTCACCAGCATCGCCTTTCTTGTACAGATGAGAAGGCAGCACAGGTATTATACTGACCCTCTCCCTCAGGCATAACCCCACCCCCACCCCCACGTTGAGCCCGGAACACCAAGTTTCACTCAAATGAACTCATTCTGGGACAGTTTTTTTTTTTGGCAGCTGGCCAGTACTGGGGTCCAAACACTTGACTGGGCCAGTTTTCTGATTAGGCTTCCCTGTTGTGCAGACACAGAGGTGGGACCCAAAGGGGTGCTGGCTACTGCCCAGCAGAGGTTGCCGAGACTGGAGCCTAGAGGCCTGGAACTTGGAGAATGTGCAGAGAAACCAGCTACAGGAATCTGCGGGGCAGCTGGAAACTTTGTCCTGTCCTGCCCGTTATACCACTTCCTTTTTAACTGCCAAAGAATTTTTTTAAAATAAAATATTTTTAATAAAATGTGTGGAAGTCACCTTTGTTCCCCAAACCAGAAGAGCAATGTATAAATTTCCTGTTGCTGCTGTAACAAATTACCACAAACTTAGTGGTAATGAAAATTTATTCCCTTATAGTTCTGGAGGTCAGAAGTCCAAAATGAATCTCATGGGCTCAGGTCAAGGTGTTGGTAGAGCTGTTTCCTTCCGGACGCTCTGAGGGTAGAATGCTTCCTTGCCGTTTTCAGATTCTCAAAGCCACCTGCATTCCTTGGCTTGTGACCTCTTCTTTGCATCAGTCTAAGCTCTCACTTCCATTATCATATCTCCTACTACTGCCTTTGACCTTCTTGCCACCCTCTTATAAGGACCCTTGTGGTTACATTGGGCCTACCCAGATAACATCCTCATCTCAAAATCTTAGCTTAAACACTAAGTCCCTTTCTCATGTGAGATAACATCTCGCAGGATTAGAATGTGGACTTTGGGCAAGGGACATTATTCTGCCTACCACTGATATTATCAGGAAGGGGACAAAAATGACTGATACTATTGGAATGGCCTGTGTGTGTGTACAGCAGCATAGGGCAGGGGTGGGGGGTAGGGCAGGCTGCAGCCTCTAGGTTCAAAATCCCATTGAAGCTTTTGGCTTTCATACTGCCCAAGGAACCTCTGTGCTGTTTCTTGTACTTTTGCCTTCAGAATGCACTGTCTGGCCCCACTGCCTGTTGGAGTAGGGCAGAGCTGCGGGTGGCAGCTGCTCTACCTTGCAGGGGGCAGAGGGCCAGGGTATTCCCCTAGACCTGTCTCTGCTTCACACGGCCTGTTCACACCCCTCCTCAATAAGCCCAGCACCCCCCCCCACCCCACTGCTCTCACTGAAAAGGAGTTCCTGTTGCAGAGCAAGGACCCAGACCCTGCTCATCCAGGGCTCCTTCCACCTCCATTGCAAACACCCAAGAAAGGCTTAAAAGGCCCTGTGATGCTGGTAACATCAGTTTTATTGGGTTGAGGCAGCAACTATAGCCTGGCTGGGGGCAGAGCTGGCCATCACAGGTTGTTGAGTTCCAGAAGGGTCTGGTCCAGGGTCTGGTGAATCTCCACGTTTTCTTCCTTGGCACTGGCCAAGGTCTCTGTGAGGGGAAGCAGCAGGTGAGGAACGGGAAGGGAGGCAAGAGGGGGGAGACACGAGGAGGTATGGACAGGGGAAGGTGACATATAGACATGGAATGGGTTAGGAGACACAGGAAGACATAAGCATTCAGGGACCTAGGGGCACCATGGCAGGGGCAAATGGATGGACTGACCAGGACAAGGCGAACAGCACAGACATGGAAACCTCACTCAAGGCCTCAGGTCATAGAGGTAGGATGGGGAGGCCTGAGTCATAAACTATTTACCCTCCTTCTTTAGAAGGTTTAAGAAAACTGTAAACAGAAGGAAAGACAAAGACTGAGCCAGGAAAGGGGGGGCCAGACAGACAGACTTGAGGCAGAAAACAGACCTTCAGCTGCAGTGAAAGCCCCAGTTTGCTGATCTCCAGTGTTTTTCCAAACTTCATTCCAGACCTTTCACAAGCTTCTTGCCCTCCCCTGCACCTCGCCACCCCACTTCCCTTCCAGTCATTCTGTTAGGTCCTGGAACCCCAGCTCAGCACTCCAAGGTCAGTGGCGGGTGCCAGTGAGGGTCATGGCGCTAGATAGGGTCACCCATGCCCGCATGCAGCAGTGACAGTCAGAGTGGCAGACTGAGAGTGCTGTGCAGAAGGGTTTCAGTGAGGGCCACAGTGTTTGTGGGTGGGCTCAGTGAGGGGCATGGGGTGTCACAAGATTGGGGTTGTCAGTAAGAGCCAGGGTCTCAGGAGTGAACCAGTGCTCATGATGGACATGCTCTGTGGGGAATGTGGGGCAGGAAAACAGCACGGAGACCAAGTTCAGAGTTTATTAAGCAGCAGAGAGGTGGAGGCCAGCGGGTGGAGGGGGGCGTAGATAGAAGGGTGAAGCCAGAGGCAGAGTGGGCAGTGGGTGGGATGGTGGCTCTCCCTAGGCTGCTGCCAGCATGGCTGTGTGATGTTGGCAATGTTTGCTCCTCTGGCCTGTCCCTCTCCCCATTGAGAGAATGGAAAGGAGAGGAAAGAAGGGGGCTGAGGCCACCACACTGGTGTGGGGCTCAGAGGGAGGTGATGTCGTTGAGTGCGTTGTCCAGCTCCTCGCTGATGGCCTTGTACTTCATCTTCTGTGCATAGACTTCATCTGAGGAGTCCAGGGGAGGGGGACCAGGTGGGAGTGTGGGGAGAAGGAATGGAGGGAAAGAGGAAAGGAAGGAGAGAGGGTAACGGAAAGAGAAAAAGAATCACAGAGGTGAAAAAAGTGACAGAGAAAGGACAGAGAACAGGCTGGACAGCTGGCAGGCTCCCTCCTCCTCCCCTCTCTCTACTTCTGTCTCTTTTTCACCCATCTCTGTACTCCAAGTTGGTTCGTCTCCCAGGAGCTTCTGCCTCTGGATTGGGGACACAGTGCTTTGGACAAGCAGGAGTGCTTGCTCAAGGGGGAGAAGAAGGGTGCTTGAGCAAGAAAGGTCTAAAGTCCTAAAGTTGGAGATAAAACTGGTGCTTGCCTGAGAAGGCTGGAAGCAAGAGATGTGGGAATTATGAAAGTTCAAAGGTTATCATAGAATAAAAAGGAAAGGCAAATTTAGGCACAATATTGTTGATAACAGAAATAGCCGTGGACTAGCAAATATCTGGATGTTTGGATCTAGTTTAAAATAGTATTTTCCATTAATGTCATGTAAACCTAGATGTTAAGCCAATAGCTCTCTATTTAATAAAGAAGTCTCTGTGATATAACTCTGTTGTATTGCACTTGGAGACAGAGTAGGCTAGATCAGTGCTACTCAAGGTGTGGTCCGAGGACCAGCAGCATCGGCATTAAGCCCAAAGTCAGCAATCACTCTGAGGTAAGGCCCAGGAATCTGTGTTTTTAAAACTCTCGGGGGGATTCTCATGTGTGCTCAAGTTTGAGAAGCACTGGCATTGATGCGTCATAGCCAGCAACAACCACTTGGATTGTAGGCATAGCCCACCCCAGTTCGTGGAGCCCTCGGTGGTCCAACCCTGGTTTATCGGTGGCAAGTGTAAAGGGATGAGAAGATAAGGGGCAGACTGCTAGTCAAAGGGGTGTGGACCTACTTAAAAAGATTCGGGGGTATGAGGGAGTATCCCATTTTACCTTCCAGGTCGTCGATGGTTTTCTCCAACTTTGCCACAGACCTTTCAGCAAACTCTGCTCGGGTCTCAGCCTGCGAGCAAAGGCAGAATGGGGGAAATGGCAAATACTTAGGCCCTCCCAGAGGCCGTCGCCTAAGTCGAACTTCTCTCCCATCCCTATCCCCAAATTCCCTGCCACGGGCAGTCTCTGGTGGGGATTAGGGGGGTGTGAGGGGAGACTGGGAACTGGAAGAGGGCTCTCACCTCTTTCAGCTTCTCCTCCAGCAGTTTGATCTCCTCTTCGTATTTATCCTCTTTGGTGGAATACTTTTAGGGACATACACACGCCATCAGTACATGGCCTTCACGAATCCTCCTTTCTTTACTAAGCCCCACAGGCTCCTCATGATCTTGCCTCCACTGAGCACCCGGCCCCTCCCTGCCTGCGCCTGTCACCTCCCTCCCCTGCAGGACCCCATCCTCACTGTCCCTCTACCCCCCTCTACCTTGTCCGCTTGGGCCTCCAGGGATTTCAAGTTGTTGGTAACAATTTTCAGCTCCTCCTCTAGGTCCCCACATTTACTGTAGGGGGTGTGTGGCAGGGTGGGGTGTGAGGGTACAGTGAGGTGTGACAGTGGAGAAGGCACGGGGATGGGGGACGGGAGGAGGAGAGAAGAGAAGAGCAAAGTGGTGAGAGTGACAGCAGGTGGAGCTTGGCAGCCGCAGGCCCTTCCCGACCTCCAGCAGGGGACAGAGAGCAGCCTGAGACGCTGAGACGGAGGGGAGAGTGGGCTGAGGGAAGGCGCCACTGCCCAGAAAGGTCTCGAGAAGTCACTACCTCCTCCTCTGAGGCCATCAGGGACTTGAGGGCCTGGTCCATAGTTCGGAGTTCCTCCTCCAGCTGCCTGGCTCGGCTGGAGGCAGCGGGCAGGGGTCAGAGGACAGGACATGTCCTTATGGCCCCAAACCTGGGAAAGTGCCTCCCCGCTGCACAGAGTGCCCCACAGCCACCGGCTCACGCGAGTCTCACTTGCCACCCTGGGGCATCTTTACCTCTCGGCCACCTCAGCTCTCTCTTCTGAGCGCTCCAGCTCTCCTTCCAGGATCACCAGCTTCCTGGCCACCTTGAGGGAAGTGGGAGCAAGAAGTAGATCAGCGGTGAACGACTGGGGGTGTCTGGGGCTTGGGAGGAAAGGAAGTGGGGCAGGGCTGTCACCTCCTCATATTTTCGGTCTGAATCCTCAGCGATGTGCTTCGCCTCCTTCAGCTGCATCTCCTGCAGCTCCATCTTTTCCTCATCCTTCATGGCCCGGTTTTCGATGACCTTCATTCCTCTGAGAGGCAGGGAGAGGGGTGAGTGTGGGGTCAGGACCTGCAGAGACAGGCTCCCCTCGCCACTCCCTGACCCTCTCCCCCAGGGCCCCTGCCCACCTCTCACTCTCATCAGCTGCCTTCTCGGCCTCCTCCAGCTTTTGCAGGGCTGTAGCCAGGCGCTCCTGTGCCCGGTCCAGCTCCTCCTCTACCAGCTGGATGCGGCGGTTCAGGGAGGCAACATCTGCCTCAGCCTGTGGTCAGAAGTCAGAGGTCAAAAAGGCTTTGTCTGCCTTGGATGAGAATCAGAGACGCTCCAGAGGATGGTAAGATTCTTCTCACAAAGAACTACGCTTTCTGGCTTCCAGACTTTCAACCCATTTCTCCCTCAACCATCTTCAGCCTAGACTCTGTGCTCCAGCCAAAAACATGCATTCCTTGACAAGCTCCACTCCCCTGATACAGTGCCTCTTCTGGCACTGTGCACGGTTCTCCTGATGGCTATC